TTGCGAAGTGGATCTATATAGAGATTAATAGTGTTGTATTGAGATGGTGGAGAAGATTTGTAGCTCAGGTGGATGATTTTGATGGAGTTTTGTTCTCTGAGCTGGATGGTTTGGTCGTGGAGCTTTCATCGTTCTTCTGAACGACATCATCAGCACAAACTTCAGATAGTGTTGTATTGGACCGAAGAATTCGAAAGTCAATACAGTACGTTTATAGCCAATCGCCTCATCGTTGTGCATACGAAGGCTAAAAAGTGGTTGTTCCACAACTTCACTAGCTAGACTTTGAAGAGTAAACAGGTAAAATTGATTTTTGGATTAGGTTTCTAGCATTGTTGGAAGATGATATTTCTAAGTCGATGACTGACTGTCTAGAACCTACCTACCACTAAGGTCAACTTGAGCTGGATGAACTATAGAGATTCCTCATTATGTCTCATAACTCTTAACAGATTAAATTAAACAGAGCTTCGACCTGGCTTGGAATAACCTTGGAATTTCCGATGATTCTGCATTGACTGAGGCGTGAGGGATCCGTTTATTTAAGATGCCTAAGGGCCAATGAGCCTAAAGTCGCCACGAGTAAGGTTTTGATGATAGCATAGGAAATATATGGCGGACTACCAATTGGAATTAGAAACGACGATATTGCTTGGCAGATTACTCTGCTTTGAAGATGATTTGAACTACTGAGAGTTTCAATAACTGTTAAACAACCAATAGTCTTGCCCAGCCGAAACTTCATGACCGAAATAATCATACGACATAATTATAGAGAGAGAAGATAGATGGAAACATCTCAGATATTGGCCACAACTCGCAAAAATTACTGGACAGTGAAGGGGACGAACACAGTTGGAGAGGTGATAAAAAGGTGTAACATGTGGACGGTTTGTGATAAGTCAAAGTCAACAGCCGATGGCGTTCCTGCCAATATGTAGGATGCAGCTAAGCTGGTATAGCTTTTCAGTCATGGGTGTAGACTACTTCGTACATGTAGTAGTTAAAGGCGTAAGGTAACTGGAAAAGAGATGTAGATGTGTGTTCAAATGTTTTTGGCACTCAGAGACAGTGCATACTGAAATGTTATGCGGCCGAAACAAGGAGGGACCCGCAGAATTATACGTCGATGATGGATCTAATTATGTGAATATAATTTTTGAACTAAGAACTTTCATAATGAATTAGGACCAGGAGGATTTATGTGACAGACTGACGAAGGAGCAGATTCAGTAGGGCCTCAATACGCTATCGTCTATCCATAGATGTGGAATAAGAGGAAAGACAACTAGTTTTTTAAATTGATTGTTATCACATATATCCAGAAAGCAAACGCTAATTGACTAGATCTTCGCACACTTACTTGTTCACGGCTGTAAGGATATTAAATGGTTGACCTTTTACCCCAGTGACACAAGACTGACAATTAACCAGCTTTGTCTCCGAATAGTTTGCTGTTATTGAGGGAATGTGATGGAATGGTTGAAGAAGGTAACGCTAGCAATACGTGTGGCGGGTTTTGAAAAGAGGTCGATTACCTTTCCAACTTTTTTTAAAAATTTATCCAGGAGAATATTCTCAGTTTTTACTGACACGTCAAAAATGATTGATCGAACACTAAAATTTCAGAGAATGCCATATGGTTGTTACGGCGTCGGATATTTCAATTTATGGGAAGTGGCTCTTGGGAGAGATAAGCTATGAGACAGATAACTACGGAAGTTGAAACACCCATTGTTATAACAAGATCAAATATGGCCTTTTGAACAAATTCCTTAACCAGTCCAGAAAGGATAGAATAACATTCATGGATTAATAGAAACTTTTTTGGAACTGGTAAATGTCTTATGTCTCTTAGAGAATTATCCTCGTAATGCAACTTACATTGGACTATTTGAATTTGTTGGGCAATCAATGGTTAGATTATTGGATGGTGACATTTATTCATGTAACAATATGAATCTAAATTTATAACTTTATACAGAATCATTCTCCACTCAACCATTTTGCTCCAAAATTCAACTGGGTAAGAACAAGTGTACCTGAACTAACGTTTAATTACAGTTAATTCCAAACCACTTTAAGTTGGGACTAGTGACCACTCCTTGAAAAAGAGATACGACTGTCTTGAATCAAGCGCAGATGTGTTCAACAAAGCCAGTCAACAGAACTCGGAGACAACCCCCTCAAAAAAAGATTGACTCACACTCGGTAGGTTACAAAAAATAATTTAACCTGGCAATAGTTTAAGGTACAAGTTACTCCAGATTACTGAAATAAAATCATTCTGCTGATACCTCACTATTGCAAACCTCGACGAATCTTGAGTTAAAAAGGATTTGAAAATCTCTTAATTCATTTTTCAATTCACTTAATGTGAAGAACAATTTCGATCAAATTATCCACCTGAAAGTATTGTCTAAGTCAACTGAAATACTCCCAGAAATTTTGACGGACACTTACCAGTTAATATCTACTTCGTTGCTTGCATATTTTGTATAAGCCCCCAGTAAATGACATCGACACGTCTTTATATTTGGATTAAACTAATCAAAATATGGATATTCCATTGACCATCACTCTCTTACGTTATAACTGAACACTTTATATATGAAATACATCATATACTCATAGTCTCTGATCCTACTATTAACCTGGACAATACTTAATAATAACTGTATACTCTGATACTTCATTTAGTTAACCGAGCTCTCTACTCACTCAGCTGTAAATTATGGCAAGCAACTCTGGTAAAAAAGGAGATATCACCAACTTCCAAGCCAACTAAAAAGTCAAAATCTACAACCCCTATATCTGACGATCCGGTATCTGACAATGTTAAACCTTTGTGTTCTGAACCCTCTACGTCTTATTCACAAATATCACTATCACTGCCTGATCCTACATGTAACAACGTCTCTGTAACGGAAAGAGAACGATGAAAATCCTTCCATAGCGTTTTTGTTGGACAGTACTGTCATTTACTTGTTTCTTCTCCTTGTCGTGTATTTTAACCTGGTTTAACCATACCTTTTGTTCTTCAGTCTTCCTCATCTGAGCCTTTTTTAAGTGGTTTTGACTAAAGACTTATCTTCTGTTACCTAATTTTCCATTACATGTTGCCGGACTATCGACAATAAGGTCGTGTTTGACTAAGCTCAAAGTCACGGCGTGGTTCAGTGTGTGACTGATAACCTTTTGACTGTCTGCTTTGGAGGATAGCTGGAATCCCTGAAGATAGATACTTGATCGCACCTTGTTGGAAATATTTTTATTGATTCTCAGGTTTTGAACCCTTTGGTATTAACTGTTTCTTTTATTGTTTAGCGAGTATAGTACAGGCTGTACCGCTTGAGGGGTTTTGTATTTTTGACGTAATTTGTTCTATTTCCCAAATTAGAACTGTTTAAGTTGAACACAGAGTTTTTGTTTTAATGTACCTTAATACGAGTATCTCAAAAGGCTTCGTACGCCATACAGAAGAACGTAGTCCAACAATGTCAGATGCACTTTTCATAAATTACCATGGTTATCATTACCATATATCAGTAACATTTTCGTATGCCACTTGTTGTCGTCTTCATCTCCCCTATTATTCTTCTTCAAATTCTGTCTTCCCAAACATTAACAATTAATTAATTTGTTTGTTACTCGTGGAACAATCGTCTTGTATCCGCACTAGAACTATCATTCGTTCATCTTCACATGGCAACCAACCAACCTCTTGTATGTGATCAATGCTGGTACTCAGGATTCCTATTGTCCTGAAAAAAATGTGCTCACTCAAGCTACGAGACATACAAATACACGAATAACTGCCTAACTGATTATAAACAGTGCATTCGAAAGGCTAGTAAACCACCAATTGAACATTACGAAATGCCTGACGCTAACTTGTCTACTTTTTTCTCCAAAAGAGTGGCAATTTTAACTAGTAGGTGACTTTTGCTTTATGTCTAGTGAAAGTCCACGAAACAGTAAGGGTTTTTTATATGTCAACGGAAACCCAGTGGATGTTGCCTATAATGACTTCAGTAAGGCATCTGACAAGGTGCCAACAAATAGACTGCTATTGAAGTTAGAAAATCTTGGTATTGCCGTACCTCTCTTAAAATGGTTTAAGTATTTCATAGTAGGTCGTACACAAAAGTAAGAATAAATTCCAAGTGCTCCACCTGGAGATCAGTACTTAGTAGAGTACCTCAAGGTTTCGTCCTACGTCCTTTTTTTCATACCGTATGCAAATTATCTGCCAAGTATAGTACAGTCCCCAATGTTATTATACGCTGACGATGTAAAAATCTGGCGTGTAATGACGGGAGACGAAGATGCATGCACACTCCAGGCAGACTTAAATAATATGATTAACTGGTGTAAAGAGTGGATTATATCTATCGACACGATAAAATGTGTCTAAACGCACATTGGGGATACAAAGATTAATTGGTACAGCATAGAGAAAGCGCTTGTACCCGTGCTTCGGTCTCACAAGGATCTTAAGGTGACCGTGAGTCATGATATTTAGGACATGGCCCATTACCCTGAATAAAAGGTGACTCGGATATACTGGAACGTGTACAGAGGGAAGCTACACGTGCAATTCCAGTAGTCCGCGGCCGGGAAAGCTAGACCTCTTTACTTTGTTCTATCGCAGAATAAGAGGTGATCTGATTTCGATATATAGAATAAGAAGAAATGATTTTGGTCCTAATATATTCGCTCTTTTTTCTTCCCACTAGATCGGGACATCTAAGAAGATTTAAGAGGAGAATACAAAAGCTAATAACGAACAAAAGTATCCATGGGATACATGTTTTTACACAGAGTCATCAATTCTTGTAACCTTTTATTCGAAGCAGTGATGTCCGCACATTCAGTCGACTCATTCAAGTGAAGACTGGACACTCATAGAAGCATACTAGATAAGGAATAACATGGGCCTTAGGCATTTTGTCCTTACTACACAAATCTGTATCTGTCATGTTAAAAGTGGCTAACCAGGTGAATCCTTGAGGTCATGTGTGCAATTTGACACTCAAGGTCTTTAAACCGGAGTGTTTCGGCTGTTTTATAGAAAGGTAATTCGACTGTGTATCCAAAAGGATATTACGAATTAATTCAGGATATTCACATTTTACGACTTTAATTGAGTTGAACTCTAGAAATTCGTATTGGTGTTGTAAATTGTACACTTTCTGTTGGTGTAATTCTAACGTATTTGTGACCTTTCTTCCAATTATTTGCCGCTTTTGCTTTTCACATTAGTGCATAAGCCCTCGCTTTCCAAGCCTAATTCGAAAATTTCACAAACCCATCACCTAAAACTCTTCCAGTTAACTTGAGCTCTCAAATGTGGGACAAAAAATTGATCAACCTTAGGTAAATTTCGGGACACTCCCATTAAAAATAATGGGTGGATTTTGGGAAAATGAAACCAAATGACCCCAGATTTAACTGTGTCTGGGATGTTCTCCAAAGTTTTATTAGATCTGGGAATTTTATCTAAAATTTTGCCCTTCCCTTGTGTATGTTGAGGACTACTGATGTGGAGGCTTCTGCCACACTGGCTGTCTTGGTCCGTATTTGTTAATGTGTATGTTATAGAACAGCCAGGTCATCTGCGAGGTCCAAATCGTGTAGTTGCATCCAACCTGTCCATTTTATTCCGTGCTTTCCGTCAGGTGTGGAGGTCTTCATAATCCAGTCCAGGAGACTAAGCACCCTTGTCTGACTCCGATCCTCACTTTGAGTGCGTCTGTCATCTGTCCTCCATGCACGAATTTGCGATGTAGTCCGTCGTATGAATTCCATATGATGTTGACGATTTTCTCAGGTACACCATAGTGTCGAGGAAGTTTCCATAAAATTCCCCTATTCACACTGTTAAATGCTTTATCATAATCAAGTAATTTGATGTATAGTGACGAGTTCCATTCAATTGATTGTTCAGCGACGATCCCCAGCGTTGCGATTTGGTCTGTGCGCGATCGATCTTTACAGAATACAGCCTTTTGACCCCGAAGTTGAGTGTCTACTGAGTCTTTCATCCGGTTCAGCAACACTGTTGAAAACCGTTCCCGATACCGACAACAGTGTGATGCCTCTATAGTTCTCACATTTTCTCAAATCTTTCTTTGGTATTTTGATGAAGTGTTCTTTCCAGTCTGTCGACACTTTTTCTTCCTCTCAAATCTTAAATAGAACGTGGAGCATGATTGCAGTAACTTCTGTATCTGACTTCAGTGCTTCAAGTGGTAGATTTTCAGGTCCAGCTGCTTTCTCACTCTTGATTTGTCTAATGGCCATCCTGATTTCTCCCGTCGTTGGTGTAGTAACATCGATAGGAAGGTTTGTAATAGCTGCTTCTTTGTCCAGTGGATTCAATGGAGCTGGACTATTCAAGAGTCCGTCGAAGTGTTCCTACTATCTATTCTTCTGTCGTTCAGTTTCAGTGATTGGCTTGCTTTCTTTTTCCTTGACCACTCTCTTTGGTTTACTATATTTCCCTGCTAGTTTCTTCGTCGCGTCACATAGTTGTTTCATATTTCCTTCACTTTCAGCTTTTTCCACTGTCGTTGCTAGCTCTTCCACGTATATCTGATTTTCAGCTCCATTCCGCTCGCTTGTTTGCTTCTGTATATTCAGCTTGTGCCTTAACCCTAACTGTTCTTGTTCGGTTATTGTTAATTGCAGTTTTCCTATCCTTCCTTTCTTAAATCTTGTTCATGGTTTCGATGGAGATCCATTCCTTACGATGATGCTTCTTGCAACACAGAACCTCCTGACACGTTGAAGTTAATGCTTCTTTGAGCTCTTTCCAGTTGTCTTCCACATTATTTTCTTCTTTAAGTAGATCATGTAAGACTTTGGACCTGTTGTTGAAAGTTATCTTTAATTCGTTGAGTTTGTCAGTATGCCGAAGGAAGACTGTATTGAACCTTTGTAATGCTGTTTGCCCGGTTGTCCAATGCTTCTTTAGCCTCAATTTCATCTTGGCAAACACCAGGTAATAATCTGAAGCTGTCAGCTCCTTTCCTGGTCCTCACGTCTTTCATTGACCTTGTGAATTTTTTACTAATGCAAATATGATCTATCTGGTTCTCCATGGTGTGATCTTTGTAGCTTTGTGTATGCGTTTGTGTGGTAATATTGTGCCGTCTAGAACCAATTTGTTGAATATACAGAGATTTACAAATCTCTCGCCATTCTTGTTCCTTTCTCCTAGTCTATGTCGTCCCATGATATTTTCATACTGCAAGAGTACATATAAATGTTGATTCAACTTGCTCATTTGGAGCGATCTGTAGTGTTGATTTTGTATTTAACGTGTAAACTGGCGACACAAATTTGATTTTTGAAGAGCTCGTATGTAATAATTAAATAAATTAAGATACACCTGGCAATCGGTAAGTCGTCCATGAAAATGTTGGCTTTCAAATAGTTTACTGAACCACAGCTAGCACCCACTTCTGTCGCCTCCACTTCCTCGAAGGTGTAAGCGTAGTATATGATAGTTGTTTTCGGTTCTCTAAAGATTGTGTTAACTAATTAATACTACAAATTCACCTTTTCGATCCCTTTAATTGACATGGAAGTGTGTCATTGAGGTTCTCTTTTGTGTTGACATTGAAAAAAGCTTTCCGTTGATGATTACAACTCAATGCCAACATCCAGGTCTTCTGTATGAATAATGTGATCATATTACTACACCACCTTGCATTTAAGCAACGTTCAACCCTCCTCTGAATCCATCCGATCCCATATCTGTGTAACTGTTGTATTTCCACTGAACGCACATAACTGTGTATGCAGTAAACAATTACGTAGGACGACATGGAACTGTTCTTCCTTCATGTCCTGAATGACGTAAATCACGAAACTTCTTCCACAACATTGTTTATCTAAGCACAAAGAGGCACCAAATAGACATACGCCACACAAATCATTCGATTTATGTGAGGACTGGGATACTGCCCAGATTGACGCAGGTGGCTTTCATAGAGGGCCACGTCCGGAGTCCTCGATCTAAAGGTGTGATCCACAAGGCAGTGGAGCAACCTAAGTAGGTGCAGTCCCATGGTAGCCGGTGACCAACAAAATGTTCACACGCTATTTGTTCCCTTAGGATCCTAGAGCCCATGTGCACCACTGGTTTGGAATCAGGGTTTTACAACCCCCCCTAGGTAGATTCTTCATATCCACCAACCCGTTTAAGGCGCTTGACATTCGCTTTTCGTCCTCTCAATTTCATAAATAACACCCGCGCCATGAGAAGGCAGTGAGTAGGACTTCCCTGATAGTGGTTGTATGCACGTGTCCATGTGAGAGCATTTTGAGAGGGAGAGCTGACTCTTCCCACTCCCGGGCGTACCGGGGCATTTGGGGGCTGTAGACAGTGCAACAGACTGTCGTTGTCTACACGCAGTCACCTAACAAAAAGATTGAATGTGGTGGGTAACTAGTTAAAAAGTGATGTCACTAAGTGACAGGTTATTGGACCAAACAGTATGTAAAACAAAGTAACAAATTACATGGAAAATATAGGGATTTCAGTAATTGGTCCTACCCTTTTACCGATTTTTTGCATAGTTTTCTATAATTGTTTACTAGGTACTTTACGTAGCGATTTCCGGTATACCAGTTTGTAAAGCTTCGTCCTATCGTAATATAATAAGCTGATATTGAAACTAGCAAAAAGACCATAGCTGTGCTGAACTCACTGACGTTCTAGATTCCTTTGGGTAGCAAGTAAGGACTCAGTGTACCAATCTGTGTCACCACAGTGCATGTTTGACATCAGGACATAAAAAGACAAATGAAACAAAATTCGAAGTGAAACTAATACTACCATCAGCAATAAACTACTTTAATATCGAGACAAGTAAATGAAGTGAAGTTATAGGAGAAAATGTGTAGAACAATGATCTTTTCAAGGTTCACTTAATCTGCACTTAACAACATTCAATGATTTCATGGACTAGTGTTACATTTTGGTTTGGTCACTTTTTTGTTTTCTAACAAATATTGCTCGTATATGCTGGGATCACCGGATAAGTAATAGTGAGGTTAGACGCAGGGCATTAGGGAATGGTGGTAAATCAGTTGATGAGGTTGTAAATCTTCATCGACTAAGATAGTTGGGTCACATGTTATGTATACCTGAACACCTATTACCACGACGCGCAATGCTAATTAGTGTTGATGGTTTAGAGGAAGTTAGGGGCGGACAAACCAAAACGTGGCATCGGTGCTTGAAGTCACTAACTTATAGTGTGGGCCATGTTTGTAGATTCAGAATACTTGGTTGAGGTTCACGTGACTGTCGTAACCGGTGTTTGGAGACTAGGTGGAATGGTAGATCCCAAATGCCCTGGTACGGCCGAGAGTGGGGAGAGTCCGCTCTCCCTCTCGAAATACTCTCACATAGCCACGCGTATATAGCCTCTGCCAGGGAAGTCCTACTCACTGCCTTCTCGTGGCGGGGGTGTTTTTTACGAAAATGAGAGGACGAAAAGCGGATTTCCGGCGCTTTAACCGGATCCTAAACCAATGGTGCACATGGGCTCCAGTATCCTGAAGGAACAAATGGCGTATGAACCAATCGTTGGTCACCGGCTACCATGGGACTGCATCTCCCCACGATTCTCTACTGTCTTGTGGGTCAGACCTTCAGGTCGAAGGCTCGGGGTGTGGCCCTCTAAGAAAACCACCTACTTCGGTTTGGGCACCCGGGCAGTATCACAGCCCTCACGCAAATCAATTGAGATTCGTGTGGCGCATATGTACTTGGTGCCTCCTTGTACCTATACCTGTGTTAAAATAAATAAGAGGTGAAATGGCTCAGAATCGATGACAATGGCGTCGGTGTATACACTCTCTGTGAAGAACGTAAAAGAAGGTTACAGCAGGGTCGCCACTGGCTTCTATTCTCAGCCATATCTGATAACGTCTCTAGCCACTGTGTTACACCATCTCTAGGACCCCAGCCAGGGAGTAGTGAAGGATCAACAGAAGCCAGCCCTTTGCAGCTTTCTTTCATACTACGACACCATGTCATATACTGACCACCTCTCCGCTTTTTCCAACCAGTCCCAGAGTCGACAAATGATGCACGACGTGAAATTCTCTGGGACGACATTCGTAGAACATGTCCAAGCCACCGAAGTCGGTGTTTCAAGATGGTGACACCAATTGGATTGTCGTTTCTGCGCCCGAACACACGATGCCGAACCTCTGCATTACTGACATGGTGTTGCCACTGGATGTCAGCAATCCTTCGGAGACAACGATGATCGAACACAGAGAGTCGTCTAACATCCTCAACTCGGAGAGGCCAGGTTTCACAAGCATAGAGCAAAACTGCTCTCACCGTCGCGTTGTAGATCCGACCTTTTACAGTCAGACTAACATCACGAAGGCGCCAAAGATGGCCCAGATTGTCATGAGCCACTCTGGCTTTCTCCATACGTGCATTGATCTCATCACTCACGCCACCACCAGCACTTATGCAGCGACCTAAATACACGAACTTCTCGACTACATCAATCTGCTCACCATTCAGAGTGAGTACAGGATTAGAATCCTGCCAGTCTTGTAGAAGTACTTTGCACTTCGAAGGTGCAAAGCACATACCATACCTACGGACATTGATTGCCAACTGATTATGTGCGGATTGCATAGCTTGGGCATTCTCGCACAGTAAGACAATATCATCCGCATACTCAAGGTCGAGAAGTCTTTCTCCAGGTAACAGATCCACACCACCATTACTTACATCCGTCAGAGCTGTTTCCAGAATGTCATCGATGGCAAAGTTGAAGAGGAATGGTGAGATTGGGCAACCCTGCCCAACCTCACTGCTTGAATGGAACAGCGGAGAGAGGTGGTTGTATGCCCTCACTCTACCTGAAGTGTTTGTACAGAGGGCTTTTAGGATGTTAATAAACTTCTCAGGCACACCCTTCTTCAATAGACAATCCCAGAGATTATTTTATTTATTTATTTTAACACATAGGTATAGGTACAAGGAGGCACCAAGTACATATGCGCCACACGAATCTCAATTGATTTGCGTGAGGGCTGTGATTCTGCCCGGGTGCCCAAACCGAAGTAGGTGGTTTTCTTAGAGGGCCACACCCCGAGCCTTCGACCTGAAGGTCTGACCCACAAGACAGTAGAGAATCGTGGGGAGATGCAGTCCCATGGTAGCCGGTGACCAACGATTGGTTCATACGCCATTTGTTCCTTCAGGATACTGGAGCCCATGTGCACCATTGGTTTAGGATCCGGTTAAAGCGCCGGAAATCCGCTTTTCGTCCTCTCATTTTCGTAAACAACACCCCCGCCACGAGAAGGCAGTGAGTAGGACTTCCCTGGCAGAGGCTATATACGGGTGGCCGTGTGAAAGTATTTCGAGATGGAGGGAGGGCGTGCCCACCTTACTCTCAACCATACCAGGGCATTTGAGGGGTGTAGAAGTACACGCTGGAAAGAAACCTGTTGTCGACGATCGCATAGAATTCTATCACTAATATGTGTTCACTGTTTACTACTTCTCTATTCATGAAAACTTCCATATTCAGTACTAGATTCTCTATGCTTTTTTACCCTAAGCAAATTTTAAACAAAATCATGGAATTCAATTATGACACAAAATTTTAAGTTTATGGTGGGTTAATAAATCATTCGATAGGCAACCGTTCCAGTGATTTTATTTTTAAAATAAATAAAAATAACTAACACGAATGACAATTTGTGTCCTAAACTTATTTTATATTATCTTTCCCTGCTTATTCTGCCTCCCTTAGTAAGTATAATGGTAGCATAATAATCGGTTCCAAGAAAACCTCCATCGACTAGGGTGAGACATGAAAAAGGTTTAGGAAATCATTTACTTTTGATCGGAGTTGTATAAAAAGTTCATCTTCCTGGTTGGAGTCCGTCCGATAGCTTCAATCAATTGTTAAATAACTTAGGCCATTATATTTTCTGTTTTATTCCATTATTTCTAAAAACACCCTCCATAATTAGTTTTTACTATCATTGACACCACTATTTCAACTCTTTATTTTCATATTGTTAATTCTATTCACTGTGCTAATATGAGACGTGAGAAGTCCTGTCAAATAACAGGTTTCAAACTATCTAAGCAAAAAGCATGGAATTTTCTGGAGTGTCACACAAAAGTCTTAAAATAATTATTTTTATATTCTCCCTTTATTTCTCCCACTTTGCAGCTTTGAAAAGCGTCTAAACCTATATCATGGAGGAAAAGGGTGATCAAGTTCTGTTGAGTCATGATAATCTCGATAGAGCTTCACCTGATTTATGGCCAGAACAAAGTAATTGTCTTATTTCTACTTTCATATAGTTTCTGGTGTCACTGAATTCCTTACGTCCCGGCAAAATGAAATAAACTTACACACCCCTCCAAAATATGCTACTGATTTGGATAAAGAAGATCTGGAACTTATTCATGGTAATCTGTGTTGTTTTTTGTGATAGTTATATTCATACGTTAGATTTTGGGAGTCTGTCAACTCAACAGCTAATGGATAAAATTAAACATTTACAGAATTTAGCTTATCAAGTTGGATTGGAAGAAGGTTCGTTTAAAATAAAAAATAATACAAATTTATTTCAGCAAAAGAAATGACCCGTGGGAAATTTTTAAATATTCTTGGGAAACGCTAATTTGTTGGTTTTATAAATGAATGTAACTATGTTTCATTCGTTTTCGTTTAAATGATTTATTAAACTAACGTTATTTATGATATTATGGTGGCATTTCTTGCTGTTATATATATATATATATATATATATATATATATATATATATATATATATATATATATATATATATATATATATATATATACGTGTAAAAATTGGTATATGTCTGTGGTTCTGCATAAGTGTTAATTCAATGAGTATGCATCTCCGTTTTTAGTCAACTTAAAATAATTATATTATCGGTAAACTGTTCTTCATTACATCGTTAAAAAAGCATCATCTTGACTTGACAAGAGGCGAGAATATTTTAACTATTCAAAAATTCTATAATTCTGAGAAGAATCAACAATTTGTTGCACTCATTAATAACTACATCACATACAGACGGATATTAGTGTCATAGTTCATTTTTCAGAATTAGTTCAATTTTAGTTGCTCAGTATTATGCATTCCTTAGCAGAATTGAATTTTTACATCACTCCGGAAGGTGCTGTAATTCACTTTTCATTATTGGCTAGATTGTATCTATGTTTTACTCTTATCAGATCCCGGAAATCACTTGGAATTGGGGTAAAAGCTTCACCAGTGCGATTACAACAATACTATGTAGGAAGTGGAAAGCTCGTCATTTCCTTTTTTGGAGATGTGCTTTGTCGTTAGTGTATTTTCCATCTGGGGTGTGCACGGACTAACCTAGATGATAGAATTAGGGCCAGTAACCTGAAGCAGATGGTGAGCGGATGTATGTAACACAGGTTATGACCATTTCAGCTGACGATTGTTTACAAACTCACTAGCTAATTATCGTTCACCTTTCACTCCTTGCCTAATAGAAGATAGCTTAGTACTGCATAGTTATAGGTATATTGATTTCTTCGTTTTTACTGATTAACTTAATGTTTTCAAAAGATCATATCATCTTTCGTATTATAACTGTGTTGAGGATTGTGTTCAAAATAAGGGCGATTAAGACATGAGAAACTGGACTCACCGCAACTTGATCGATCGAATGGGTAAATATTATAACATATTTAATATTGTACAAGAAACAAGTAAAATTAACTAAATTACATGGCATTGTCACAACACAAGAGCAAAAAAACTTGTTGAAAGAACTTTGAAAGCTCAACAGAAATAACTTTACCGAATATCCAATTAATTCCCTATTAGGAAAAAAGAGCAGTTTTTATTTCAATTTTATTCGCATCCAAAGTGAACATTTTTGATAACCTTTGGCACATTCTACTCTGGTTATTGGATTATAATTGAAATGAATATCAATTTGGGTTTTAGAAATGTAGTGCATCATTCCCACGTATAATAATGTAATATTTCTCCTCAAATTCTCCATCTTTTTTAAAGACAATATTCCGATACATAGTTTTGGCACAATTCAAATACTCCATTCGCTTTTTAAAATAATTTATGAATTAATCCGTTTTTCACTAAACTAAGACGATAATCTTCAATTTACTATTTTTATTGTTATAATTCAGATACGTTTTCTAACTATGCTTTATAATTCGGTGATTAGCGTATTGCGCTTTTCTTTCATTAAGCGTATCTCATAGGTGTTGGTACGGTTTATGACTTCGTCTCGTTTATAACATCGATTCATGATGGAAAGGGGCATCTACTTGAAAAAGAACCCCGAAGTAACATAACCACTAAAATAAAACATATTATCTACCGAAAGAAACTGGGTAGTCGTCTTATTTCTGAGCCCTTTGTTTTGTTTATCTTTCTTATCGTAATAGATGAATCCTATCAAACAAGGTAATAACTGTATGTCAGTTGTAGTCGACGTTAAGCATCACTACTTGAGAATAAGTTGGGATGAGAAGCGAAAGGGTGGAGTTAATTTCAGCTTCAGTTGAAATTAAAATATGATTAGTAAAAATACAAATGCTTTCAGAGAATAAAAAGCCAGAAAGACACAACCCAGTAATTAGAGGGTGACAGTGTAAGTGCATCTACTATACAACTGCACCAATTTTACATTGTCACTTAACATCAACCATTGGGTGGGATGCAACCAAGAAGTTTACATCTCCCAACATAAATCCGACCAGCAGTTGATGATCTCATAAATGAGTACCGTATCTCCACTTCCTTATTTCAGGCTCTCCTCCAACCTACTCCTATATAAACGACTGAGTTAGCCTCTCCCAACTTACGTTACGAGATGTCCAACTCCCAACCATAGGATATAAATACTGTGCAGCACTCCGCTAAATATCGTATTTTGGCCGTAAAACATAGTTCTTAAAAGCAGGAAATAGGAGTTTGTAGCAGGTTTCGGACCTTTTGTCTTTAAAGTCCTGTCCGTGTTTCGTTGAAGGGCCGAATAACGTCCAGGTTAAGCAAATGATACTAGGAAGGATGGCGAATCGGTTGATAGGTGTGAATCCTTATTTATTGAGGTGGTTAGGATGTGTTACATATGCTTAGTCGTCGTTCACCCCGATTCTTTTTACATTCTGTGTAAACATGCAACCATACTTTGTCCACCAAATCAAACTAATCCATGAATTTAACCTTAACCGGGACGTATTTCTTTGTGGTGACAGAATATCGATGCCTAAAACTGAGTAGAACACCCATCACATTTATGTAAAGTGAATTCTAGTTATGAGACGGTGGATATTTGTAGCTCAAGAGAATGATTTTATGGAAATCGTGTTCACTGAGCCGTGTTTTAGTTGTGAAGTCTTTTTGGTTTTTTCAGACATTATCATCATAGTTACTGGAAAAATTAATTTCTAGCACTAAGATTGAAAGAAAATACGGATCACAAACGGATTGACTGTGTCCTTGTTTGTTATTCATCTGGAGCTTAAGCTACGATTATTTGTAAGGGTTTTGGCCCTCCTACGTATTCCTAATATCGATAGTTGATTTGATCAGTATTTGTTAGTATATTGAGTACGCGAAAAGACGTCAACACAATCCTGTGCGGAACATGCTACATCTACATTCCGCTAATACGTCAAGAAAAATGGTTAAAACTGTAAGCTAGACTGTAAATATCCGCCAGTGTAGATATTCCATCAGACCTTAAAAATCTAAGACAGAAACAAATACTAACTACCGCCCCACCTATTTTCACAATTAATTTTAGAATGTAAGTGTTTACACATCGGGTAGTATAACAAGAATCAATCCCCAACTACTATGAAAATGAACATACCTCTAATTTTAGATTGGAATCTAGCCAGTCGTATTAAGGTTGGTTAAGCCGACCGGCCTTTCCGCAAATAATTACCATTTTTCAAGGCTCACAAACCCACTGTGTGCATGTGATTTTATGAGGGAATCGATAACTCCTGGTAATAACACAAGGAAGTCGCACCAAAAGTCCAAGTATGAGCCACATGCATACTGGCAATACATAATTTTTCACGTATGCAACCCTTGGCATACATATAGGTATACTCGCTCTGGGAGCAAATATACGTTGCATGCACACCGGCAACGCAAGTTCTCACGCATTCTACATCCAACGTATAGGTATATTCACTGACCTGGAGGAGATGGTCACCGCTCACTTCGAACGTGCTGGCTACTGACTGTTTATTATGCATGCCATTAGTACAGAGGCTTTCGTCTTCGCTCTTCGTAACATGCATATGAACATAAGCAATCTGAGGGGGGTTATGGTCACCTCTCCCTAATATTCGCAACCATACTTATTTGTTATCTCCGATCTGTTGTTTTAAGCCGCTGATTTTATTAGACAAATCAAATTATGAATATTAACGCACTTAATTCACATTTCAAATTAACTTAGTCGAAATACCGTTAGACGTAATTTCGAGGAAATTCGAACAAGGTAACAAATACTTTGAGATGATGTGTGCAAAAATATGGCCTAATTTACCATTAAGAAAAATAATGAGTAAACGTTTAAGAACACAAATACTTTGAGAAGTTCGCGTGTTCAACAAATACCTGATATCACAGAACTTAATGACAGTCAGTAAGATACAACGTAGGACCAGGTACATATGTGCACCGGTTCAAGTTGCCACACCTCATTAGCATAACAAGATGAACTGCAGATTCATAGTAGTTATTTCAGTGATAGAATTAGATAAAAAACGAGTTGCATATAAGGATATGACACAGAGAGAAAGAACTAGTTCATAAAAATGTATAAATTAGTTTTAATCTCATGGTTTAAGGGAAGAAAGGGCATGCACCTACTCCATCGCGATCGATTTTGAGTTATATCAACCAGTCTCCAACCATGAAAGCAAGTTCGGTATTATATTTCTGGTCATACATTTGGGGGCAATGATAATGTGAATCGTTCGATTGTTAATTGAAGCAAGAAAAGTATCTTACATAAATATCAACATTTCATCATATTTGTGTGTTGGCTGTGATACTGCCTGGGTGCCCAGACCGAAGCAGGTGGTTTTCTTAGGAGAGCATATCCGGATCCTTCGACCTAAAGGTCTAACTCACAAGGCAGTGGAGCATCGTGAGGAGATGCAGTCCCATGGTAACCGGTGACCAACAATAGGTTCACATGTCATTTGTTCCTTCAGGATACTGGAGCCCATTGGTTTGGGATCCGGTTAAGGCGCCGGATATTCGCTTTTCGTCCTCTCATTTTCGTAAAGAACACCCCCGCCACGAGAAGGCAGTAAGTAGGACTTCCCTGGCAGAGTCTGTATACGCGTGGTGGTGAAAGAGCATTTCGAGAGGGACGGCGGCGCCACCCCACTCACGGCCATAACAAGGCATTTATGGGATGAGATCAATGCACGTATAGTGAAAGCCAGAGCGGCTTATGACAATCTGGGCCATCTTTGGCGCCTTCATGATGTTAGTCTGACTGTAAAAGGTCGGATCTACAACGCGACGGTGAGAGCAGTTTTGCTCTATGCTTGTGAAACCTGGCCTCTCCGAGTTGAGGATGTTAGACGACTCTCTGTGTTCGATCATCGTTGTCTCCGAAGGATTGCTGACATCCAGTGGCAACACCATGTCAGTAATGCAGAGGTTCGGCATCGTGTGTTCGGGCGCAGAAACGACAATCCAATTGGTGTCACCATCTTGAAACACCGACTTCGGTGGC